AGAGAGAGAGAGAGAGAGAGAGAGAGAGCAACAAATTTGGAGGAACTAGTTGGCCTTTGTTCTTTACCTTGCCTAAGCCTGGCGTTGGTTGCCCATCTGGACTTGGACGGGGAATAACGACAGTAGTTAAGGGCCCTGAATCAGATACACCCAGTTAACTATAAGCCGAGCGTGTCAACAAGCGAGGAATGAGGAAAGATGGGGAAGGCTAGGAAACTGGAGTTAAAAGCATACCGAACTTTCTGCCCTCTTCTCTCATGTCCTCCAATATTTCTTCATATTCTTCATCATCCTGCAATTCATCTGCAGACACCACCTAAATATAGGCAAGATCCGCAAATGATTAGGATAAATAACCCCGAACCATTGAAAACTTACTTTGAAAATTAAATGAAAGCAAAATTTGCATAATTCATGCAAATGTCCCTCAGGGTTGTACATTTTACATGGACAAGATCAGAAATGGGGAGCATTCCAATTTCTAAGTTAGGACTCCAGAGAATCCACCATTCCTATGGTTCAACAATCAAAGTAAAACTTTTCATCACAATCAGGTGAAAAGACATTTTATTTTTTGATCGATAAACAAAGTGGATATGGCCTTTAATAAAGCAGAATGGAGAACCAGGATTCATGTAGCCGACCCAAATTACTTGGGAAAAGGCTAAAATGATGATGATGATGATCAATAAACAAAGTGATTGCAAGATTTCACAATAAATTCAGCTAGAGATCCATATTACCACAAAAAAGAAACATGCAATTGTATGCTCTTTAAGTTTTCACAATTAATTGTACAAGAAACTAAGATAAATCGGATGTACTATAACCAGTACATAAAATGCTTTCCAGTTGAAGGTGGAATGGTATCCAAGTTTCAAACAAGGGAGATACCTCAGTCAAACAGAGTACTTTAGTGGGGTTCTCCGAGACCGTAACAGCCACCCCTGGCACTGCCGCTCCACCAGCCTGTAAGACCAGCTTCTGCACCACGTAACACAAAGACATAAGTGTTTATCTATAGCAAAATATAGTCAGTAAAAGAAACAGGTACAGTCCAATGGTGTATTCTGGTGGACGGCAGCCTAAACTAAATCCACCGCTTAGTCCAACTCATGAATAGTTGTAAGAGATGTACTCAGGTACCCAGATGAACGTCCCTGTGCGCCACGCTCCAGTTAATCTCCAACTGCCCACAAATGGGAACAGATTGTAGATGTAGCCTTGAGTACCGTGTACCATATTGACAGTGGAGCACAGTAACTTTCCCTGTAAGGATTTGAGGCCGCAAATATAGGAGGAAGAGAGCTTCTTGAAATACCTGCAATGCTATATGCTGCTGTGCTTGTGCTAGAATAATCTCCTGATCAGGTTTTGCTTGTCCAGTGCTGTAAATGATGACATATAAGCCTCACTTTTGACCGCTTAAAGATGTATAAGCTAAAAACTATCAAAAGCTTACAGGATAATAAGAAGAAACTATAAGGAGCAAGAAGAAACAACAGAAAAATTGGCTTCCAAGTTCCAAAACATCTTCCATTTTGTTTTATGTTCTTTTCCCCTAGTCAGAAAAATTTTAAAAACCACTTCTGGATACCTTGCAGTGGCGCGGCGAACAGTGAGAGTTTTGTCACCCATTTTCAAGCCATTGAGAGCAGCACAGGCAATGTCTGTAACCGCAGGATCCTGAGAAATTTGAGAATAGGTTAGCAGTTATGTTAAAAGCCATTACCCATTGGGACACAAGAAGGAAATAAAAAACTATAACATAGACAAAAGAAACAAAGATAGGCTTCAGATTACAAAGCACTAATTCACATCATTAGGCAAGCACCTGGTATACGCAGAAACCATAGCCTTTCGAGTTCCCAGTATCTCTGTCTTTAACAAGATCAAATCCTCGCAGCGGCCTGTAGCAAGTTGTAAGCGGACAATTTAACATAGATTAGTATATTGTTCCATGCAATTAAGGAAACCACACAATTACTACCAGATACCAAATATTACATAAAGGATATTTTGAAAATCCATATCCAACAATCAATTCAAAAGTTTCATACAACAATTTTAACAGTTTTTATAACCACTAGACACAAACACAAAACATAACAGATATATGTGTGTGTGTATCGGAATAAGTGTCTGCACATAAATTTCAAACTACATATTCCTTTTCTCCAACTTTAGAGGCACCATGTGCCATTAACTACTCGTATGAACAACTGAAGAGAAAAGCAAAGAAAATAATGTCCAGAACAGATATAGCTAGTGACAAATACCCGAATGACTCTAGTAGCTCCCTAATCTGGGCTTCTGTGAAGTAGTATGGCAAGCCACCCACAAAAATACGATCAGGTCCCTCGGCTCCACCAATGGCTCTGGTACCCACAAATTCAGGATTCAACAAATACCGAGCCTTCTACTTGTACAGACAACAGCTAATAATTGACACTAGATTCACAAAGAAAAGTATGGCGTTTTACCCAGGTATGAGACCAACAGCTGCTAAGGTGAGATGAGGACTTGGTTGGCTTGGTCCAAGTGCTGCAGCCAATGAGGGATTGTAATCAGTAGGCCTCCGAACCCTTACTGAAACCCCCTGTCAAGATAAAACAAATCCCACATAATTGATCAAGAAATTATTTCTGTACTATCTGTTACTTGGCAAGCTATAAAGCATGAATGCCACCAGCTTACATAAATTTGCTTTTCTGGTTATATATGTGGCTTTAAGGAAATGAAGTTATCTTAATTTATAGGTAATTAATCTGCACATGTTTTTCTAGTTCCAAGCAAGGACAAAAAGCTGTTGCTTAAACATTCCGAACTCCTATATATAAAATGGACACTTTACTTTTAACCTATGAGACTTTATCCATAATCCAAAACACAAAAACAAAAGTTTTCAGAGAATCAGATAACGACATAAAAAAGCATATGAAAATTGACAATGTAGAAAAAAACAACTAATCACCCCAATAACAGGCCAACAACCCAAATATCCAACCAACAGAATGAACCACCATTTTAGATGTAACAAAACAGTCAATAAAACAAAGCAAACACCCAATCTCAATAAGCAAAAGATTGAATTCATGTTGCTTTGATGAATCAGTGTTACAATGTCAAAGCTAGATAAATAAAATAGAATAATAACACAAATGTCGCAGACTCGAAACCTGTATGGGCCATACCCATGTTTTTTACTGAGCAAAAAAGGGCAAAAAAAAAAAGAGAGAGAGAAGACTTGGCTCCGTCTTATTCTGTAAAAAATTCCAATAAGTTCCAATTTTGTCAGAGCTATCCTTTCTTTCAAAAAAAAAAAAAAAAGAGAGGAAGGGACCGAGCTGAGTCAATGTGGATAAGTCCAATGTCTCTTAACATAGTTTCTAGTCACCATTATACTCACAAAAGAATCTAATATGGTTCATTCCTAGAAAAGCAACAGAAGCAATATAT